AGAGGTTTGATTGTGCTTGATGGAAGTCCAGCCAGAAGAGCATTGCAGTAGTCCAGCCTAGAGATGACAAGGGCCTTATACATCCTGTAAGGGTGTACTCACACACACTAGGCACGGTTGCCTTGAACCGAGCCCGAGCGATTATTGCGATTTATTTTTTTGTCTCCTTTGAGATAAAATATTTACCCTATGAAGTCCCCATGATATTTTAAATTAATATTTCAATAATTAAAAACAAATTTGCATGATCACGGTTCTCTTAATGGTCACATGACAAGCAGGTAATCAATTACAGTATTTTGTTTTTAGTAAATTCAGTATTTTTCTTTTAGTATTTAGTATTTTTTTTTTTTTTACGTTTTATTTTGCTATTATTTTGCTAATATAATATTTGCTAATATTTGAATTTTACATTTTTATCATTTAATTACAATATTCTATTTTTAGTACATTTTTAAAGGCCTCATTTTCGTTATGCAAAATACAATTTCTCATTTGTTTCTTACAATTTTAGATGAAATGTGAGCTGGACTTCTTGACAAGTTTCATGATATTCACTCAGGATATTACACTGCATGCATGTTTACAGGAATAAAGAGTCTCTGGTGAGCTACATGAAATCTGTGGAGGAACATTTACAAGAGGCAAGAACACACATTAACAACATTAAAATATTAAGGATATATTTGTTTTTCTGTTCTGCATGTCTTCATGTTTTCTTTGGTTTTCAGATGAAAGATCATGTCATTCTGTCCAGAAGAGCCTCTTCACGGAATGATTTCACCCTACAGCTCTCCAGATTGTCCCTCATACCGTCAGACTTGCAAAGGATCATGGGAAACCCAGAGACAGAAGCATGTCAGGTGCAAACTCTCACAAATCACATTCTTCAGCTTAGTATGCAAAGTGCATATTGTGCTGATGTGGATGCATGCTTCATACTTAGTTGCATGCCGATTCACACTTCTTTACTGAGCTTGCATGCTAGGTATGCATGCTGATGCATACTTCATATTAAACATGCATGCTAAGTATGCTTGCTGAAGTATGCTAAGTGCATACTTTGTGACAGTCAAATACTCCCCCTGCCCTACCGTACAGTGTGAATGAATATCATACTAAGAGTGTGTGTGTGTTGTAGCGTTTGGTGATGCGTTTCCTGGAGCTGCAACAGCTAGTGTGCTCAAAAACATCATCTCAGGAGAGAGCGATCTCATCATATGAGTCTCACATCACGGCGCTGAAGAGTGAACTACAGGACGCCTGTCTGCAGGAGAGAAGCGGCTGTATACCGGTGAGAGCCAGTGGTGGAAAAGATGTTATTAATGCTGAATTTTAGTATTGATTATTACAAATGAAAATCATTTTTAGGCTATGACTGTCGTCTATTTGTGAACTAAATCTGCTGTGAAAGACAGAGCTGTTTAGGCCCAGGCATTTGCATGTCCAAATCTGTATAAAAACTATTAACATTAAAATAACGCAAATTAATGCCCATGCATATTTTGTTGCAGTTTGAAATGTTATAAAACTAGTATGTTTGCATAGCGTTCCTTTTAAAATGTTAACAGTATTTTCACTTGTTTGCACATTTTACTTTTGCACACACAGTGAGACTCTTATTAGACAACTTAAAAACTGGAAAATGTATACTTTGATCCTCCTTAGTTCTGCAAATCATAACCACACTCTTATCGGGATTATATAAAATATCATGTTCAAGACAATAATCAGAACACATAGTTAAAAGCTGTTGAAGCCCAGCACTACTAGGACTAAACACCACAAGATCATCTGCATACATAATATGATTCACTAAAGTGTTCCCAATCATACACCCAGTTTTACAAGCATTCAAGCATTCAGATAGATCATCCATGTAAAGATTAAACAGAATTGGGGACAAAATCCCTCCTTGTCTCACGCCATTACTAACCCCAAAAGGGGCAGAGACTTTATTGCCCCATTTTACTCGCATCATCTGGTGGGCATAGCAATAAACCAAGATTCTCACAATGTATTCTGGCACCCCTCTTTGTCTCATTTAAAAAAAGAACTTTGCATGGTTAACCCGATCAAAAGCTTTAGGTGCATCAATGAAATGCATTAAGACTGATGAGTTTTTATCCCTGTACTTATTTACTATTTCCTTCAATGCATAGATGCAAAGATCAGTACCGTGTTTGGCCTTAAATCCAAACTGGTTATCTGTAGAATTAATGAGCACATTTATCCTATCCAGCAAGATTTTTTCCCATACTTTAGACAAAATACTAGCTAAAGCTATAGGTCTATAATTATCTAAGTTACCTACCGTTCAATACTTTTACTGGAGTAATATTTTATTAGGGTATCTGTCACTTAAAATTTAAAATGAGTATTTCTACTTTTACTGGAGTAATATTTTATTAGGCTGTCTATACTTCTCACTTAAAATTGACAAGTACTAATACTGCAGTAATATTTTATTAGGGTATCTGTACTTTTACTCAATTAAAATTGATGAGTACTTTACTGTAGTAAAATTTTATTATGGTATATATACTTCTACTCACTTAAAATTGACGAGTACTATAACTGAAGTAATATTTTATTAGGGTATCTGTACTTTTACTCAATTAAAATTGGTGAGTACTTTTACTGTAGTAAAATTTTATTATGCTATATATACTTCTACTCACTTAAAATTGACGAGTACTAATACTGAAGTAATATTTTATTAGAGTATCTGTACTTTTACTCAATTAAAAGTGATGAGTACTTATACTTTTACTGCAGTAATATTTTATTAGGGTATCTACATTTGTTCAATTAAAATTTAAAATGAGTACTAATACTGCAGTAATATTTTATTAGGGTATCTGTACTTTTACTCAATTAAAATTGATGAGTACTTTTACTGTAGTAAAATTTTATTATGCTATACATACTTCTACTCACTTAAAATTGACGAGTACTAATACTGAAGTAATATTTTATTAGAGTATATGTACTTTTACTCAATTAAAATTGATGAGTACTTATACTTTTACTGCAGTAATATTTTATTAGGGTATCTGTACTTTTACTCAATTAAAATTGACATCGAGTACTTATACTTTTACTGGAGTAATATTTATTGTGTTATCTGTACATTTATTCAATTTAAATTAAAAATGAATATTTATACTTTTATTGAAGTAATATTTTACTATGGTATCTGTACTTTTACTCTAGTAAAATTCAAAATGAGGACTTTTATTGGAGTAATAATTTATAAAGGTATCTATGTTTACTCAATTAAAATTATTACTTTTACTGAAGTAATATGTTATCATGGTGTCTGTACTTTTACTCACTTAAAAACGAGTACTTATACTTTTACTAGAGTAATGTTGCATATTTGTGTGTGAGTTATGTAGTCTCTGTGAACTCTCTCTCTTTGTTTTTCTGGTAGTTGCTTGCGTCCTCCGACCCGTCAGCAGAGGTGGATTATGGGACGTGTTTTCTGACAGATGCTGCGGTCTCACTGAGAGGCTCCTCCAGAGACTCGCTCTCAGATCTCCAGAGGAAAGTCAGAGAGAAAACACTGATGAACTGAAGCTGAATCACTGTGAGACAGACAATCACACGCTCACATTCACAGGAGCGTTTCATCTTTATAATCTCTGGTTTCTCATTTCCTGTGGAGGATGTGTAATAGTGACACTGTTAACTAGTGTTATTAAATCTGCTGTGGTTTATTGATTCCAGTGCTGCAATGTTTCTCACACTCACATACACAAAACAACAGCGAGGGGAGAGTGGGGTAAGATGTGTCGCACCCTAAAACTAGTACAATCTGCTTTTTTATATATTTTTTTGCCTTTCTAAATGTACGCTACTGGCCAGAAGTTTGAAATTATTATGAAGTCTCTTATGCTCACCACCAAGGTTGCATTTATTTGATCAAAAATGCATTAAAAATTGTGAAATATTATTCTAATTTAAAACAGCTGTTTTCTATGTGAACATCTGTTAAAATTTAATATATTTCTGTGATCAAAGCTGAATTTTCAGCATCATTACTCCAGTCTTCAGTGTCACATGATCCTTCAGAAATCCTTCAAATATATTGCTTTGCTGCTCAAGAAACATTTCTGATTATTATCAATGCTGAAAACAGTTGTGCTGCACAATATTTTTGTGGAAACCGTGATATATTTTATTTTTCGGGATTCACAGATGAATAGAAAGTTCAAAAGAACAGCATTTATTTGAAATAGAAATCTTTTGGAACATAAATGTTACAAATGTCTTTACTGATTTTTTTAAATTATAGAATTAAAAATCAGAGCATTATTTATTATTATAAAAATCAGGGCACAAAAATAATGATGGGTAAAGCTAAAGTGAAGTTTAAGAACCAAGATTTGAAAACGTGAAATCACCAAAATGTATACAATTTAATCAATCAACAGCAGTGTTTATTAAAATATTTATTTGCATAATAGATGTTTTATTTTACATTAAGCAGAATTATTGGAAGTTACTTATCTTTTTTTTTTTCTCATAAAAGCTGCAAACCACATGTTCTTTCTTTGGTCTGGTGCTTTTAAAGCTTAATTAATGCCTGATTATATGAGTCAGTGACAGTGACTGAGTTTTCACGCAGATGCTGGATGTCAGAGGAGCGTGTGCGTGTGTGTGTGTGTGTGTGTGTGTTGCTGCTTCATAGATGCACAATCCTCACCTTTCTGTGATAATTCACCTTTTTGAGATTAAAATAGGTTACCTGCAAGATTTGCGTAGATCTGATGAGAAAGTGTTTGTTTTCCACACATGAGACGGATGCAAACTTGAGCGGGTTCAATTCTGTACAGCTTTCAAACGCTCCTGTGTGTTTTTGTGTTTAATACACACGTTGCAGAGATGGAGACGCGTCTCCAAACTTAGGGAGTGCCTGTTTAATATTTATGGGAATCAGGGTTAGTACAATTAACTAAAACCATTAAAAATGATTACTTAAAATAACATAGAAAACATTTTTTTATTTCAGACGGACTTTTACAACTTGTTTGTACAAGTTGTTTGAACTGAAATGTGTGTTGGCAGTGTGTGTACACAACCACCCTATAATGATAAAAATCCACCGGGTGTTTTTTTTTTGTTATCTACTAAAATTTTTAGCCCTTTCTCAAATCGAGCCACACAATTCTGAAAACAAAATAACAAATTACAAACGCAAATGTAAGTCTAAAAAACAAAATAACAATTCAGAAAGCACAACAACAATTCAGAAAACACAATGACAAATTCGAAAAAAAATAACAAGTCAGAAAACACAACGACAAATCAGACAACCCAATACGGGGTGTCTATTTACATTTAGTTAAAAGTGGCTGTAAACCATCAGCTCCAGTGGCACAGATGGATAAGCACGTGTTGTCGGCTTTTTGACGCGATCGACCCGGGTTCGATCCCGTCTTTTGCCAAACTTTTTTTTCCTCCCTTTTCAAATCTCGTGCAGGATTCAAAAAAATGCAGGATCATGGATCGCTCTGTCGCTGGAGATCTGCTGGTGTTTCTGAGTAAGATCGTATCTGGACAGGGCTCGGTTCTGATGGGCATCGATTCAGTCCACAGACTCGGTTCTGTGCGCAGGTATCTGTACTAACACTGATCACCTGCTGGCGTGGATGCTACTTTACACACTCCTGTGTGTTCTGATGTACTCTAAAAACATCTGTGAAATTTACAGTAAAAAAACAGCAGCTGTGGTTGCCTGAACTTCATCACAAAACATACAGCAATGTTTTAAGTTCAGTGTTATTTTATTACTATTATATTTTAACATTTTGAGTCAGCTTTTATTGTTCTATTCTCATTTTAATTTTAGTATAATTTTTTTGTAATTTTTTGTGCATTTTCTTCATTTTTTCAATTTATTTTTTTTGTTGTTAAATATGTTTTGTTTAATTTATTCAGTATTAGTTTATTTAATTCTAGTTAGTAATTTTAGTGCTTCAACTTCAGTCAGTTGCCAAGGCAATATTTCTAATATTCAGTTTTTCATGTAATATTTATATATTTTATTTAAACTTTTTCAATTACCAAAAATGGTTGTGATGGTTTTAGTTTTAATTCATGATAATAACTTTAAGTTTTGCAGATTGAACTTAAATGTACAATAAAAAAACATCTCATTAACTGAAATAATGTTAATGTACCAAATTACTAAAATCTGTTTTTTTACCTTTTATAATATACTGACAAGCACCTTAAAAACAGAAAGACATATAACATATTATAAAAAACAATAAACATTAATTTAACATAAAAACCCAATGTACATAACTGAAAATAAAAAAGATTAAGAAACATAATTATTTCATTTAAATAGAATTCTGAGAATGTGTTTTCCTCCACTGTAAATTATAAAACAACTTTTTTTTGACGAAGTTGACTTTATTACTTCCAAAAACTGTACATTTAACAGTATTTTACTGTAAAATTACATAACGTCCCATTAGATCTCTTACAGTTTTCCACCGTATTTTCTAAGGGAACTTACTTCTAACCAATTAACAGGATTTTACCATATTTGTAATCTTTAATTATTAAAATTAGTGTCATTTTTTTACAGTGTGATTTCTGTGGCATTGACGACACCAAACAGATTCACTAAAATAATGGTTGTTTTCAAACATGTTTCCCAAACTCTCACGTCATTGGTCAACATACAGATAGCCCCGCCCCCAAACTCACATCATTGGTTGAGTCAGACACATCGAGTCGTTTATACTCGTAACAGGTCATTCCATTATAACTACATAATTCTTTTCAAAATGTGGGGTCAGTAAGATTTTTTTAAAGAAATTAGTAATTTCATTCATCGAGGACACGTCAAATTGATCAAAAGTGCCAGGAAAGACATTTCTAATGTTTTGTAAGATCAGTGTTGGCTAAGTTACTCTAAAAAAGTAATTAAGTACTAGTTACTAATTACATCTTCAACAGTGTAATTAGATTACTGTACAAATTACTCTCTCCAAAAAGTATTTAATTACTAATTACTTTCTAAATCCTATATCAAAGTTAATGAATGATACAAGGATAGACACGAAACCGTTATTTTAATTCTTTCAAATAAATAATACATAACTACATAAATTATTCTGGTCACACTTTAGATTACTTTTAACTAACTATAAACTAACTTCCAATAGCAACCTCGACAAGTTAATGATACAAGGATAGACATTAAACGTTTTTTTTTTTAATTCTTTCAAATAAATAATACATAACTACATAAATTATTCTGGTCACACTTTAGATTACTTTTAACTAACTATAAACTAACTATCCACAATTGTGTTGTATTGTATATAAATGTTCTACAGTCTATAAACAGTATTGAGTTCAATTACATAAGAAGTAACTTACTTTTTTAGAAGTAATCCCTTACTAATTAAATTATAGTAACTAATTACTTAGTAACTAGTTACACCCAACACTGAACCATGGTAATCAAAATTTCTGCTGAAATTCATATAAAAAGTCCTATAAACCAAGGATTCCCAAACGTTTGTCAGCCAAAAAAAGTGTAATTATTTTTATTATTTTTTTCACAACATATTGCATTTTCACAGTTTTCTGATGTTGGTTAATGGTTGCATGATATGCAGGTACAATTTAAATAGTTAATCTTTTTTTTTAAGTAGTGTTTTAATTTGATTGACTTTATCTTCATTTTACATTTAGTTAATTATTATAGCTTTTCAGTAACTCACAAACCCTCTGCAGTTTCTGGATTCTGATTGGCAATCAATTATTAGTATTATTAGTATTTTTTATCATTCAGCTGGAAAAAAAAAATCATGAAGAATTTCATGAAGCATTTTGAATGCTTCAAAAATGTACAAACAAACAAGTTAAATCACTAAAGATGTTTAGAAAGACAATAAACTTACAATAAATTACAAATACAATATATAAATAAAAGCAAATAATAATAATAATAATAATAGCTTATGCTTATCCAGAAGTGAAATAAGCTTTCTTAGTTTTGCCCAAGAATGAGTGTTTAAAAAAAAGTTCTTTTTCTCTTAAAGTTGTCATATTAAAACTTTATTTTTCTATATTGTTATAATTTTTAGCATGAATGGGACTTAATTTGTTTTTCCACCACACATTTATGCGTTTAATTCAGCTCAGACTCAAAAATCAAACTTTGTTTTGCTAGTCATTTTCAGTTTTTGCCAACTTTATATTTTAAAAACGATTTAATGACAAAATTTGAAAATGTCCTATTGACTAGTGTTCTTTTACAATTATTTATGTTATTATAGAATTATTAACATTTGAGCTAGCTTTTATTTTTTATATATATTCCGTTTTTATCATTTGTTTGTTTTAGTCGTTTTGTTGTGTGCTTTGGTCATTTTTATTCATTTTTTATTTTTAAAACTATTTCTATTTATCTTTATTTTATTTGAGTTTTAGTTCTTCAACTTAAACTTTTGTTAGTTATTTGCCAAAACAACATTTAAAATTCAGTTGAAGTTAATTATTTAACTAAACTAAATAAACTAATTATTTAACAGTTTATTATTAAATGTTTGCGGTAACAACACAGCTATTGACTTTAAATGTTCATACAAGAATCTGAACAAGATGGATTTCATACCACACTGTAAATGCTTTGTTTTCTTGAATTTATTTTCATTTATAGTAACATTTGATGCAGCATTTTAAAACGGAGCTAAATACTAAAACCTTAACTCGCGTAAAATGTGAACACCGTTTTACCGCCGCCTTACAAACAGTGAGATTTGCTCCAGGAAAGTGTCTAAGAGCGTTTAATCTCTCTAGAACTGTAAGAAAAGTCTCTGTAATATGTACATATGGGGCTGTTAAAATGCTGATCAGCACATTTGAGGTCTG